GACTGTTTCACACAGTGTTTCTTGTACTTTTGGAATCCTTGTTCACCATGATCCCTGTTATAGAACCTCTAGGCGGGACCGAGAGATCTCCTGAAACCACAACTGATGACAGAGATCAGTCCCCCCTGGAGAAAATGGCCACTCTGGAGGATGGACTCTACAGTATTATACCCTGCTCCGCCTCCCCGGGCTGTACCCCCAAATTTGAAGGAATTTCCAGCTGGGAACCCTGGAACCAGTGCAAGGTCACAGCCGAGCACGACAGGGACCCAGGCTGAGAAACCTCAGGAAGTGCTTGAACACCAAGCCACAGTACACTGTTTCTCTAGCAAAAGGCCAGGTCTGACCCAGAAGCTTTTATCCCCAGGAGGGGCACCGGTGCGCCATTGCCAGAAGAGCCATCAGCAGAGGTGACCAGGAAGATCCGTAAAGGAAAATAAAGGCCGAATAATCTGGTAGCTCAGTATGCTATATTGAACAAGGAACCGAGTATAGTGGTTTCAAGAACTCTCCTCTCTTCAGGGATCATAGCGAGTTAGGGTTGCCAGGCTTCAATCCGCCACTGGCCAGCCGGCTGGTGGGGAAAACCCCACCCCCAAACAGCCCCCTCTCGCAGCGTTGGAGTGATGACATCACCCAGAAGTGACGTCATCACACTGGGCACGTCGCATGGCGACGCTCTAGCGTTTTGACCAAAACTCTATGGTAACCAGGCTTGGAGCCGGGAGCCCCCCCGCCACAAGCCCAGTAAGACCTGGCAACCCTATAGTGAGTGGCTGACACCACTTTTTAAAAGTCTGCTTATTAAATCATGGGAATTTGTGATGACTAAAGATGCATTTGCCCCAGACTGTCACTAGTAACCCAGATTACCTCTGGCTTGCTACTGGAACGACATGGTAAGCACGTTTATACAGCCGTACGCTTTCCTTTCCAAGCAGTCTAGGGCAGGGTTTAGAGGTGTTATGGTCCTCAGGTGAAGTCATTCATTACACTGAAGAGTTTCCTTCTGGGACATTTGATGTTAATCACCGCTTTGGTTTCATCCTATGTCGCTGAACTGCTAATGATACCCTACATCTGGGCTTTATTTGTTTGTTCCCATAGCACAATCTGTCTTCGTGGTCCCTGGGGTGAAGCTGAAACCAGAAATATGTGACCTGTTTGCTCCGTACCAGAAGGATCATCACCCAATCAGCTCTAGCAAGTTTTGGTGAAAAGGACAAATGAATTACTTCTTTTTTCCAGTCAGAGAATGAAATGAACGCTACTTATGATCCAGGAATAAAACAACAGCTAAAGCTTTCAGCATTCTAGAGTGTCTGGTATTTAAAGTCTTGGATTCACCCTCCCTGTTCCAGGGCTCTGGAAACTGATGGGAAAAATGAACAAGCAGTTGTGGAACTGGGGTAAGGGTCCTTGGCAGAGTGGGGCCACAGGAGGTCTTTGGCCTAGGGTAGAATTTGACTCACCCAGAAAGCAAGAGTATCGCTTGCAGCATAAACCCTTGTGCAGCACTATTTACAGCACGGGACGTGATTGGGCTGCAAATTCATTTGGGTCAAACACATTTATTTATTTAATTTGTTTAGGCCCCACCTTTCTGCCCAATTGGGGACCCAAAGCGGCTTATGTTGTTCTCCTCTTCTCCACTTTATCCTCACAACAACCCTGTGAGGTAGGTTAGGCTGAGAGTGTGTGCCGGGCCCAAGGTCACCCAGGAGAGCTTCCCTGGCACAAGTGGGAATTCGAACCTGGGTCTTCTAGATCCTGGTCTGACACACTTGACCACTATACCACACTGTAGTTAAAAAGAGAAAAAACATCTACACCATTTTCTAACATGACTGAAATTGAACCTGAAATTGAATTGGATCTAGACCAGCCCTCTAATTTGCTCTTACAATTTTGGTTTTATTGGTCATTGGTAAACCTAGGGTATTTAAATCAAATTATCTGTCACAGATTCAAATCAGTGCTAGTGTAATCTAGTAATGGGAGACAGTTTCCATACATCTCTGTGGTAAAAGAGGACTGTCCTGGGTGGACTGTGATGTTCTTAGAGAGCAGCGTCAGAAAGATCGACTGGGTAACCAATTTGTTAAGAGTGCCATCTAATTATGGACTTTTCAGATCAAACCAGACATTTGTAACTTAATAGATACCTAGACCACAGAACAAGCGGACAAACAGAGCAGGGGTGAGGGAGATTGTAATTTAAAGAACGTAGCAAGTGATGCAGGGCTTAAAAGAGGGACCTGCCGTTCCTGCGGTTTGTTTCCTGTCTTTCCAGACAAAAGAGCTCCCGGAGGGAAGGAGGGAATTAATCTAAAGATGAGCAGAGTCTCCAGGGAAGATGCCTCCTTGGATTAAGTCAACAAAAGGAATGGTTTAATATTTGTTATCATTTCCTAGGGGGACCTTCTGCCGTCGCTAATGGGATTATCATTATAGGAGTTCCACGCCAGTGGAGCATTAGAAACGCGCATTGTGGGCCGATGACTTCGCTACATCCAACTGACTACTTCTGCTCCATCCCAAACGCGTCTGCTTTTGCAAAGGGAAAGGGAGCAAAGGGAGCACGTACGAATCCAAACGAGGATTCTGACAGTATCGACGCGGGCCAGTGATACCACTAGTGAGTCAGAAGTGTGTTTAAATCTCCTTGATCTCTGCATTCTTGACAGAACGTCAATAGGAAATGTGCTCTTGTGATTTCTGGTGAGGGGGCGAGGGGGCTGTTGTACAGACAAGAGCATGTTTTGAGCTCTTTTATAGAGAGCATACTAAATCAGGGTTGCCAGGTCCCCACCGGCCACCAGCAGGGGATTGGGGGTAGGGTTGCTAGATCCAGGTTGGGAAACTCCTGGAGATTTGGGGGTGGAGCCTGGGGAGGAGAGGGACCTCCATTAGATGTTGTTCTGACTTCCAGAAAACTTTTGATAAAGTTCCTCATCAAAAGCTCCTAAGTACGCTCAATAGTCACGGGGTAAAAGGACAGGTCCTCTTGTGGATCAAAAACTGGCTAATAAATAGGAAACAGAGAGTAAATATAAATGGGAAATTTTCTCAGTGGAGGGTGGGAAGCAGTGGGGTACCACAGGGATCAGTACTCAGTCCGATGCTTTTTAACTTATTTATTTGTTTATTTATTTTATTTATACCCCCGCCCTCCCCGCAATGCGGGCTCAGGGCGGCTTACAAGTGGCAAACGCCAATATAAAACAACTTTAAAAACATTTATAAATCCCACAGTACAAAAGCATTCATAACAATCAAAGACTGGAGTGCTCTAGATGTTCAACATAATATCAGATGGCATTTTTTATAACTGTTCAGCCTCATCTGCTCCAGGGACTGATGTTCACCTCATCCAGGGCCAGGTAGAGATGGAATAGCGGTGATGTTTGTTTATTAATGATTTGGAGTTGGGAGTAAGCAGTGAAGTGGCTAAATTTGCAGATGACACAAAGTTGTTCAGGGTGGTGAGAACCAGGGAGGATTGTAAGGCACTCCAAAGGGATCTGTTGAGGATGGGCAAGTGGGCGTCAACATGGCAAATGGGGTTCAATGTGGCCAAGTGCAAAGTGATGCACATTGGAGCCAAAAATCCTAACTATAAATACACATTGATGGGGTCCAAATTGGCAGAGACTGACCAAGAGAGAGATCTTGGAGTCGTAGTAGATAACTCAATGAAAATGTCTAGACTGCAATAAAAAAGGCCAATGCTATGCTGGGGAAGGGAACTGAAGGAATTGAAGGAAGGGGAAGGGAATTAGGAAGGGAATTGAAAACAAATCAGCCAGTATCATAAATCAATGGTGCAACCTTATTTGGAGTACAGTGTACAGTTCTGGTCACCACACCTCAAAAAGGATATTATAGTACTTGAAAAAGTGCAGAAAAGGGCAACTAGAATGATAAAAGGGTTGGAACACTTTCCCTATGAAGAAAGGTTAAGCCACTTGGGGCTCTTTAGCTTGGAGAAACGATGGCTGAGGGGTGACATGATCGAGGTTTATAAGATTATGCATGGGATAGAGCAGGTAGAGAAAGAGGTACTTTTCTCCCTTTCTCACAATACAAGAACTCGTGGGCACTCAATGAAATTGCTGAGCAGTCCGGTTAGAACAGATAAAAGGAAGTACTTCTTCACCCAAAGAGTGATTAACACATGGAATTCACTGCCACAGGAGGTGGTGGCAGCTACAAGCATGGACTGCTTCAAGAGGGAATTAGATAAACTCTCTTCTTTTTAGAAGAGTCAATAAAAAAGAAGAGGGAATTAGATAAGCATATGGAGCAGAGGTCATCGGTGGCTATTAGCCACAAGGTATAGATAGGAACTCTCAGGCTGGGGCAAGTGATGCTAGTTATTCTTGGTGCTTGGGGGGGGGGCAACAGTGGGAGGGCTTCTAGTATCCTGGCCCCACTGCTGGACCTCCTGATAGCACCTGGTGTTTTTGGCCACTGTGTGACAGAGTGTTGGACTGGATGGGCCATTGGCTTGATCCAACATTGGCTTCTCTTATATTGTTATGTTCTTATCTCTGCAGTCTGGAGATGACCTGTAATTCCAGGAGATCCCCAGTTCCCACCTGGAGGTTGGCAGCCCTATGACTATGAGCATTTCTTACCAGGATTTGCCCTGGCAGAACAAGAAAAACGAAGGCCCCTGCCACACGGCAGGGGAAAAGCCTCTTGAGGCGCGGCTTTTAAAAGCCGCGCCAACGTTGACACGGCTCGGTGGGATCCCACGGATCCCCGGCCGAGCCGCCTTTTCTCCCCGGCGCGATCAAACGCCGGGGAGAAAAGACGGCCCTAACCGGGGGCCGGCCGAACTGCGCATGTCGGAGCATGCGCAGTTCGGATCCGGGCTGGGGTTGTGCCGGCGCAAAGACGCGCCGGCGATCAGACGCCCGGGAAGAGGCGCCTCATCCATTTGAACCACCGAGGTAGGTGGTTCAGTTTGAGGCGCATTTTCCCGGGAAAGGGACAGTTCGGCCACGGAAGCAAGACGCTTCCCAGATGTTGTGGTGTGATCGCGCCGGTTTGATCCGGCCCCAAACTGTCCCGTTCCCGGGCCAAATCGCCTCGTGTGAACGGGGCCAATGTTTGTTTTCACTCAAACCATTTTCCTTTCACTCATGGGGAAAATTCATCTTCAGATAGTCAGAATGACAAATCCATGGTGAATGGGAAACCGTAGAGAGAGAGAGAGAGAGAGATGTAACAAATGTTACCAGCAATCAAACAAAGTTTGAGTGCAGTAGCACCTTTAAGACCAACAAAGTTGTATTCTGGTTATAAGTTTTCGTGTACATGCAGTGTGCATGCACACGAGAGCTAATTGTTGGTCTTAAAGGTGCCACTGGACTCAAACTTTCTTCTGCCACTTCAGACCAACACGGCTACCCCCCTGAATCTTAGCAGTCCTTATTAATGACCTGTAAAGAGGTGTGCAGAAGTTACTAGCCCATCTTTTGAGTTCACAATCATCTGCGTTAGCCATTAGTGGTCTAAAACAGCGGTTCCTAACCAATGGTCCCTCTAAGCTGTGGAGTCTTGTGAGCAAATATTCTACTTTGTGAGCTACTGGCATTGAAGTTGTGGGCGAGCGATTTGGCTACGGCATAAATTACTTTGCTCTGGAGCCCTCCTTCCTGAGCTAAAGCAAAAATATGTGAGCTGGGGGCTAAAAAAACTGTGAGCTGGCTCACACTAATTCAGCTTAGAGGGAACACTGTTCCTAACCTTTTCAGCATGGTGACCCACAAGTCCACATATACTTGGTATAGTGACCCAGCTAGGGCTTGCCAGAGGGTTTTTGACACCTTTTGCAAACTATGACCTTGTCACTCATTTAGTTCAGCAGTGCTAATTTGCTACAGTGGCTAACCAGATGTTTCTGAGGAACCAACAGACATTTCACAAAGGGTGTAGCTGCCCCCACTATGAATGCCAAGAGCCAGTTTGGTGGAGTGGTTAAGTGTGCAGACTCTAATCTGGGAGAACCGGGTTTGATTCCCCACTCCTCCACTTGCACCTGCTGATGTGACCTTGGGTCAGTCACAAGCTCTGGCACAGCTGTCCTTGAAAAAGAGCAGTTTGTGTCAGAGTTCTCTCAGCCCCACCCACCTCACAGGGTATCTGTTGTGGGGAGGAGAAGGGAAAGGAGTTTGTAAGCCGCTCTGAGACACCTTTGGGTAGTGAAGGGCGGGGTATAAATCCAATCTCTTCTTCTTCTTCTTCTTCTTCTTTTTGATACACAAAG